ATGTTAATATATTAAAAGATTACATTACAATTAAAAAACTTTTATTAAATATAATACGGCACTTCCGAGCAGTGCATCTGTGGAACAAATGTTTAGCGTTGGTGGTTTAGTATTAACGCCTCAAAGAGCACATCTCAACGATGACACAATTGAGTATCAAATCCTCTTAAAAATTAATAAAAATTTTTATTAAAATTTTAAATATTAAATCGTTAATAAATTATAACATATTGGGTCTGTTTTTTGTTTTTTGTTCCTGAACTGCTGCACTAGTTCAGAGGTTGTCCTTTTCTTTCCAATGTCGAGCAAAAAAGATAACCTCTGAACTAGTGCAGCAGTTCAGGAACAAAAAACAGATCCATTGTATCAATTTATATTAACAAGAATTATAATAAAAAAAAGTATCAAGATATGAATTTATACAGGGTGTCCCAAAGCACCCTTAACAACACTCGTGAGGTGATAGAGGAGATCGAGATGAACAAAAAAGTCTTATACCATTTTGCGATATTTGCAATTATAAGCGAAATATTTAATGTTAAAGTCAGGCAAATAAGAGCCCGCTAAGGAAAGCGCTCGAGCCGCTCAAACTATAACACGGCCCAGTGTACCCGTTATAACGAATTAAGTTATTTAAAGTTAAATAAGAGCCCTTAGCGGGCTCTTATTTGCCTGAATTTAACATTAAATATTTCGCTTATAATTGCAAATATCGCAAAATGGTATAAGACTTTTTTGTTCATCTTGATCTCCTCTATCACCTCACGAGCGTTGTTAAGAGTGCTTTGGGACACCCTGTATATATTAAAAAATGATCGTAAAAATTTAAAGTTTGAATGAGTAAATAATTTTCATATAAAATGCTAAAAAAAGCACGTATGAAATTGTATTGCTTTTATATGAGTGGAATTTGTAAAGAAAGCTGTAATTTTTATGAATTAGAAAGAATACATTATAATTTTATTTTAGTTTATTTAGAAAATCTGCAATTCTTTTTACTAAGGCTATCTGATATTAAATGACGTAGGCGTATAAAATTATAAAGCATGAGAAAAAAGGAAGTTATTTAAAAGAGGATATAATTAAGGGAGTTAAATTTATTATGAGATTTTGTAGGTAATCTCAATAATCCAAAGCAACGTAAAATATTGTGCATTTCTGTTTACTTTGACGAGACAATATAAAAGAAGGATACTAAACAAAGAAAGAGCTGTTTTCTAGTGTAGTTACTTACAAATATTTCGCCGGAGCTACGATTTTCCGATTTCTCAATATCGATATTATAACGTCTGTAGCTAGATATATCTCTCATATCTGTCGTCCTAGGTCAGCCTAAAAATCTGGGACCGCGATAACGATTTCAGTTTTCTTGTGATCTCGTTTTGATGCTTTATAAATCCACTTGCGGCATTTCGATATCGGCAAAATATAAGATTTTCACATAAGAAGTAAATATTCTCGGAATGATGAAAAAATTAATTTGTGAGAAGAAAGAAATCATTATAGCTTCATTATATACTATGTGTATATACAATAAAAATAGAAACTCTATAATGCTCTCGAAACGTTAGACTTTTATAATTTTAATTCTTATAATAAGTAATAATGTATAATTATAATAAATAACTATATATAATAAAATGTATTTAGAGAACATATTTATATGTATATGATTTCATTCTTTTACCTTTAAATTTCTTTTATTAAGTATAGATCTGATATTTTATTTTCATCGCAAGAAAGTAACTACAAAGTAACGACTCGTTACTTTTTAAGTAACTGTAACTGTAACTGTAACGCGTTACTTTTCAGGATTGGTAACTTTTAACTGTAACTAGTTACTTTTTAATGAAAACAACTGTAACTGTAACTAATTACTTTTATAAAGTAACTTTCCCAACCCTGATTATACATATGTAAAACATACATATACTGACATATTATTGATGACTTGATAGACGTATATTGTACGTATGTAAAATGTATATATGGTGACATATTATTGATGACTTGATAGATGTATATTATACATATGTAAAACATATATATACTGACATATTATTGATGACTTGATAGACGTATATTATACGTATGTAAAATATATATATAGTGACATATTATTTATATATTTATATATTTTTATCATTTATAAATTAGATTTTCAACTACCGTCTCAGTCGAGCACGACGAATGATTGAAAGCGTTTTCGGCATTTTGACAGCGAAATGGCGAATTTATCGACGACCGATTATCGCATCTGTTTCTACAACAGTCAAAATAATTCAAGCAACTGTATGTTTACATAACTTTGTGATTCAAAATGAAAACAAATTGCCAGTATCCGAAAGACATTATACCCGTATTATCAGTGAAGAGACCGTGATAAATGAAACCGCATATAGATGCGACACTAACATGTTCAAAATTAAGAAACAATAGAACTTATGGAATCATAACATAATAATATGATATAATTATAATATTTCAAATACTTGAATGATTGATAAGATGCTTCAACCACCTTTTAAAAGAGGCGTCTAGCCTTGATAAAGTTATTATGAAGATTCCATAAATCTCTAGATACGTCTAATCTGAAAAACGCCATTTTATCGGGCGTTAACTTGTCAATTATATTCACAAAACCTTACCTCCTAGATTATTAAATAATCTCATCAAAAATGACATTTCAAGAATTTAAGATTTTAAGATCCAATCTATAATAAATAAATTACAGTAAGGTGTATGTTTCGAAACCGTTAAAAATACTTGAGAGTCTCCGCGAAAAGTTAAATGTTGCGCGATTGGATATACTGAGAACCATCAATCGTCGCATTAGCGAATCACAAATTTCCACGCGAACGAGGCATCGCGCGTAGCCGATCCTTCTCACGCCTCATTGTAATTCGCATTCGCGGTCCCTTTTCGCCAACTCGAGTGCGCGGTGTATCGATTATGATCTGTCGCGCATCCCCGTTTTATGCCTATCTGAGTCGCTAATATCCCGCTCCTTCTCCCGTTCCTTCTTCTTGTTCCGGCTCTTGGTGGATCAACACGTTATCGAGTGACCGAAAAATAGTAATCCGCGTTGTTGAAAATTAATCCGTCGAGTTACGAAAGTGATTCAGTTCCGCCGGTCATCGGCAAAATTTATAGAGTATCGTGCACGCGATATTTTCAATCAATTCCGGTCGTTTTGTGAAATACACGCATATTTCGGCTGTAATTACGACTGCACGTGTCACCACGTGCTCCGACATTACAGTGTTCCGGAGACTCTCAAAGACCTCGATCTCGCGAACGGTGCATCGCGCATCCGCGTTCGACTCTTGATCGCTGCGATCTTCGTTAAAATTGTCGCGAGAAGATTTCCGTCGCGTTCGGAACTACAGCATAGTTCCGCCCAAGATTTTCGTCGCGTACGCGCGCAGCAAGTACGATCAAGCACAAGATGTCCGTCCGCTCTTGTTGAATTTATTTTCCACCGTTCGTCGAGTGTGCCTAATTGTAACTTGAGAATTTTAGCTATTTGTGAAAAGCCGAATAAACTTTATACAATCTATATCACCGATGTTAACAGTCAATCTCCTTTTCCCTCTATTCCCGATCAAAATTAAATTTATCAGTGCATTCCGCAACAGTGTACGTAAATATAACTATATAAGAGAAAGGGCATATATTGTATCATGTAATCGAAATATATAATCCGAACTCTCGCCGCTACATCGTGGAATTGTAATCGTATAATTTAGAAATTCTCAGCACTCCCCGCTTATACATTAGCGACAATTTTCTACCTTATAATTTATTCCTCAATTTTAAGTAATATAAAATAAATTATATAAATTGTATGATTCCACGTTCGTAAGAAATAAGCACATCTATGCGCGAACTCTCTGAAATACGCTCTTTAAAATAATCATGTTGATTGAATTTATATCTGTTAGTTTTAAGGCGACATAATTCTCAGCTCTTTGTCGGCCGAAAACCCTCGCTACTGTTCGACGCTTCTTGGAATCTGTATCTTGGCCGAATCGTTATCCACCCTCCCTCCATACCGCATCGCCTCGATACCCTACGTGCCGAAGCCCATATGTATGTCATAAATTCTGCCTCTATTTGGAACTCTTGCTCTCCTAGACATTCCATTGGCTCTCCTCCTTTTTTTTCCACACATATCACTTGCACCGATGATCTCGAGATACAGTTTATGAAGAAACCCCCACCAAAGGGCGCAAAGTACAAAGACTTTTTCCGATTTCGATGGGTATATAAACCCTGCGGTCCCAGCATCTGCGCGGCATAATTATACACGGCATATTATACGACACATTAGATAATGCATCTCATTGTGTCACTCTAAATTTCTATACGAAACTTTGTCACGCGTTCGCCGTCGACGACGTTGACTTTCTTTATTAATTTTTGATCGCGCATAGTTGTAAAGTAAAGCGAGTTATAATAAAGAACTTTAAACCATTAGAATCTGTGTATTTTTGATTTCACTACGCGCATCTCGACCGAGGTCTTCTAAGGGGGTGACGGCAGGTGAACGTGCTGCAGAGCGACGGTATATAAAAGTTCATCCAACGTAAAGTAAGTACCTTTCACACTAACAAAGATCTCTCTAACATATTACTTGCATGAGAATCTGAATCCTATTCAGAAGTCGCGCTAGATCAATAATTATCATCCTACTATTATTCTCCTGTGCCCTCCTCCTCTATTCTTTTATAATTTGTGACGTGACGCTTTTGGAGCGCCGTCACAAGGGCGAAAAAGCCCGATCGGGTAGGCCGCGGAGACCTGGAGCGCCCCTCACTTCGGGGAGGGTGCGATCCGTCGTTTTTCGTATTTCGTATTATCGTATTTTTTGCGAGAATCGCCGTTGCACGCAGCATCGGCCTGTCGATGCGCGTGCGACGCGATTCGTAGGTAGAGCGACAAGGACGGCTCGAGAGAGCGGCCGGAGAGAGACATGTTAAGCAAGAGAGAGAGGGAGGATGCCGGTAGGGATGGGCGATATTGTATCGATATTTGTAAATATCGATATTAATGAATTAAAATATCGATATAAAACATCGATAATTCAAGTACCGATATTTTGGTATATCGATACGAGATTTGCTTATATCGGTTTTCGATACGCCTTTTATTACAAAGACAAATTTTTTATTTTATATACATGGCGCATGCGCCTCGAGCGTCGGCATTATAGTGACAAAATGGTGGATGTGGCCCTAAGGCCATCTAGTGCCTACAGTTAACATTAACGATTAATATTACTGCGTTTATTTTTATAACCTCCTTTGGACAAAGACAAAGAGCCGGTTGTTTCAACACTTCTAACTTTTGGGTAAGTTTTATCTGACAAATAGCATGTCTTCGTCTCTTTTTACAATTTTTCTTAAAAAGAAGCAAATTTTAGAAACTAACAATTTTTATTATTTTGCATTTAACTGTTCTTTGCTTGTGTATAGCTATTAATCAAAAAATTATTTCATGTGATTAATGTGTTCGTTTTACTTTTTCAGTATTGGTTGGTTTGGTGTGAAGTGAAGTCCTAATTTTCGTCAGAATATATCCTTACTTTACATTTCTTCTATCTCTTTTAACTATAAAAAAGTATGCATACAATTCCATTGTTCCTTAAATTTCTTCCAATGCAACTTTTTCCTTGGATTTTTTAGAATAATTTAATAATTGCTTTTTAACATATTATAATACTGTATTATTTTGTTTTATTTTATTAATTATCATATTTCATATTTAGTGCCGCCAAAGAGTACTTTTTGGAAACACTTTATAAAAAGTTTGGGAGGCGCAAAATGCAATGTGTGCCAACAATTTATAAAAACCAGCGGAAACACAACCAATTTGCGATTTCATTTAAAACGAAAGCATCCGGACCTTTGTAATATCAAAATGACAAGCGCTTCTGATGAGTCACAAAAACGGAAAGAAATAGTAATATTTCTATATCTTTATATAATATGTTAAATATATGTTAAGACAATTTATACAGATTGAGAACAGAAAAAACTAATATAACTATAGTAAATTAAAAATATTTTCTTATATATGTATAATGTAATTTGATATATACAATTTGAAAAATAATTTTATAATACAAAATTTTTTATTAATAGTCAAGTGAAGGTGAAGATATTGCATTGTATGAAGAAGACAACGATGAAGAATTAACGTTGTCTCCGTCAACAAGTTCATCATCTACATTTAGAAATACACTAAAATACAAGAGAAAACAACCGAAACTTATAGACGCCTTTTCAAAACAAAAGTCATTCCAAGGTATATAAACTTTAGCATTTTATATCTAGTAGAAAAAGAAATAGAGAAAAAAAATATCACTTATAAAATTATATTGTGTTTTGCATTTTAAATCAATTATATTTGTTATTGATTCTGCTAGAATTTGTTTTTTTAACATACCAAATTTTGTATCTATTAATTTTAAATACTATTCAAATATTTGAAATTTAAATTAAATAAATAATCTTTTAACGTATATAGATATTTAATAGATATTTAATACAGATATTTAAGACATTTAATAAATATTTAATATATGTATACAAAATACATTTTTATTAGAATATAAAGAAAGTATTTTTCAGATAAGGAAATGTGGTAATTTAATTTCATTTTTTTTAGATGGAGGATCTAAAGCATCGGAAATCACAAATAAACTCGTATTTATGATAGCAAAGGACAATATGCCTTTGTCTACAGTGGAGAAAGAAGGCTTTCAGATTTTTATAAAATGTGTGAGTCCCTTATACACCATTCCAAGTAGAAAAGTGATAACGTCTCTAATTGAAGAAAAATATGTTTATTTATCAAATTTGATAAAAGAGCAATTATCTAATGTAGAGGACATAGCGCTTACGACAGACATTTGGACTGATGTAAATACAAAAAGTTACCTCGGAGTAACCGCACACTATCACATAAATAATAATAAAAAAACTGTTATGATAGGAGTCACTAAATTAAATGATAGGCACACATCTGATAATATAAAAGAGTGGTTGCTCGATATAGTTGAGAAATGGAGTATTTCATTGCAACGTATAGTTGTTGTTGTTTCTGATAATGCGTCCAACATAAAAAAAGCTATAATAGAAGGTTTTGGTGAAGAAAAATATTTAGCTTGTTATGCGCATACATTGAATTTGGTTCTTGCTAAAATTATAGAAGAAGATGAAATTGTAAGTTCATTATGTAAAAAAGTCAAATCTATTGTAACTTTCTTTAAAAAAGTGTAGTTCTTTCAGATTTATTGCGAGAACATTCCAATCTAACATTAATTCAAAGCGTTGACACGCGGTGGAATTCCACGTTTGATATGCTTCATCGATTCATCCAATTATCCGACAAAATTGGATTGATTCTTTTACAACATCCTACAGCTCCACCAATGTTATCGGCATTAGAATTGCAAACTATAAAAGAATTTATGCAATTGTTGGAACCATTTAAAACAGCAACAACTATATTTTCTGGTGAAATGTATGTTACTGGCAGTCAAGTTATACCGATAATACACACATTAGCAAATCAGTTAGAATCATGCAAACCTATTAGTGAAGTAGGGTGTTATATAAAAAAAGTTTTGATACAAGAATTTAAAGCACGATTTAAAAATATTGAACATAAATCTCTCATTGCGATTGCTACTATTCTAGACCCTAGATTCAAAAAAATTCATTTTGTAGATAGAATTGCATGCTGTCATGCAATAAATAAAATAACAGATATGTTAAATATTGCTACTAAAAATAATGCACACAAAGAGAAGGAAAATAATTTTCATTCTGATTCTGTATATCAAAACAATTCTTTTTGGGCTTATCATGAAACATTAATAAAAGAAACGAAACGATATGTTTCTTCTAATACAAACAATGAAATGCCTGATGAGTTTAAATATTATCTTAATCAGATACCCATTGATATCGCTGAATGTCCGTTAAAATATTGGCAAAATTATTCGACATATTCTTTATTAGCGAAACTGGCTAAGCGTTATTTAACAGTTATAGCAACGTCTGTTCCGTCCGAACGTTTGTTCTCTCGAGCGGGAAATATTATTAATGATTTACGAAATCGGTTAACGGAGCAACATTTGCAACAATTGTTATTCTTAAATTCGTTGTCAATTGAAGATTGGCATTTATAAAATGTTCTTATAAAGTGAAATATCTCTAATATATTCTCTCCTAAGTAATATATTCATATAACATTAACATATCTATTCTATAAAATGTTATATATTTATTATATATGTAATAAAATATATATTCATTAATACATTTATTCAATAAAAAAAGTTTATAGCTTATATCTTTTTATTTTACCCCTTTTTTCTCTTTTTCAAACTTATACACCGAGTATATATTTATTAAGCAAGTTTTTTGGATGTAGAAACCACTAGAATGATTCTTAATTCTATTTAGATAAGTTTTAAAAAAAGAAAATATGGTATTTATCAGGTAAAATACCGCGGATTTTACAAAACACGATATTTTGTATCGATATTGGTAATATCGATATCAATTTAGTCGATATTTAAGATGTATCGATAATATGGTTAACAATACGTATCGATATAATATATCGATACTTCGGACTGTATCGCCCATCCCTAGATGCCGGAGTGCCGCAGCAAGAGCGAGAAGGAGGATGCCGGAATACCGCAGCGCGAAAGGAGGATGGAGCGAGCGAGCATAGGAGAGAGAGAGCGCGGGACCTCGCGCAGTTAAGTATCAAGTATTAGTACTTTAATTTGATATATCTCGCGCAGAATTTAGGCGTTGAAACGTTATAGATACCGAGAGGACTCCGGGAGCTAAAGCAACCACAGGGCCGATCCTGAAGGGGGACTACGGAGGGCCCGGCCAGCCTCCCGATTGTTCCCGAAGGAGAGATGCCGCGGGAAGAAACCCGGAGGAAAAGCCTCTCAACCAGCGATACATTACCGGCGTGAGAATTACCTCAGCTAAAGGGGGAGGCGGGGGGAGACCTTAGGGCCCCCGCCATCGACCCTATCATCGAGGGATGCGCAAAAGATCGGCGCGAAAAAGAAGGTACCGAGACGCGCGAGGCCCGGCTCTCCACTGTTCGGTGTGCCGTAGACTAGAGAGGGTGCCTCCAGGACTCCAAAGTGCGACTCAAGGACTCAACTTCACCGCCAGAAACTGTAAGCCGCCTCTCGAGTAGTCGTAGTTCCGTGTTGGTTGGTACCGTAGAGATTGATCGTATACCGTAATTACCGTGAGTACCGTACTCTCTCATTTTTCGTATCGTTTGTGTGTGAGAGAGCGGTCTCTCTCTTTCGTTGTTCGGGATATCGTATCGCGGGCCAGCCGACTTTGCGTTTCGCGAAGAGAGCCCTCTCCGAAAAGTGCCGCCGACAGTCTATCGTCTCGAAAATAATTATCGTAAATTCGGGTTACCGAAATATTAAGAGTCACGTTTTTATTAGCTCGATTATTAGATTTTCGGGATTTGCGTGTAGCCGTCGCCGCGAGTTTGTTAATATTTCATTGTTCTCGACTCGGCGAGAGAGTCGTGCGAGAGAGAATCACGAAATCTCCGTCATCTAGTTGTTATCGTGTTTTTTTTTTATACCGGGCCGTGTCTCGGAATATCATAGTGTGACCTCTGTCTATCCGCGTGCCCGCGAAAATAAGTTAAACCATCATAACGTTTACCGATTTTGTATTTGTTATTCCGTTTGTATATTATTGTCGCGAAATCATATAGAATGTTTCACCGTGTATAATTAATACTAATTCTATATAGTCAATTCCGAAAATACCGTTACTCGCAGATCTTATTATATTATATTTTGATTCGCTACCGCTAGTTTATATCTTACTGTTTGTTACGTAATTTTATTATCCAATTGTATGTACCCGATGTCAAATTGAAATCCTAAGTGTCAAATATATATATCTGTCAAACTCTAACACCACGTGTATGTCTCCTCTATACCTCTCTCTCAACCATAGACCCATCACTCCTATAGACCCGCGACTCTGTATGAATTTGGAAAAGTAACTTTAAGTACGTTCACAGTATTATCGTGGCGCGTTCACACTGGCCTGGCGCCCAACTTTACCGTGAGTAATGAACGCACCTAAGGGCGTAGAATTAACTCTTCTGATACCGATTTTTACCGTTTTATTAGTTAAACTGGAGAATCTTTAAATTGAACGCTCCCCTGTCCGAACTTGGCGTTTCGGCACAGGAAAAGACGTTGCAAATTATCGAGCAGTGCAAAAATTTGTCTTCTGCCCTTGATGATTTTCAGCCTCCTTCTCTATTCCTTTATAATCATCGAGCAGTGCCAAAATTTGTCTTCTGCCCTTGATGATTTTCAGCCTTCTTTCCTATTCTTTCTAATCGTCGGGCACTGCGTTCTGCTCTTGACGATTTTGCGCCTCCTTTCTCTATTTGTCGAGCACCTTTTTTCGTCTCGTCAATGTTTTTAAATAATCATTGAGCACTGCGTTCTGCCTCTTGATTATTTCGCGCCGCTCTATTATTCTTTTTATAATCATCGAGCAGTTCAATTTCCCTTGATGATTTGCCTCATTTCCCACCATCGAACTTCCTTCACCTCCCGAGAACTACCCATTTATCTCTCCTTATTACATAAAACCAAATA